ATGGAGTGAGGTGTGGGTCTTGCTTGAGTCTTTTGCAGATATTTTTCCAATTTTGCCAACACCATTTGTTAAAAAGGCTGTCATTTCCCCACTTCAATGATTTCATTTCTTTGTCAAAAATCAGTTGACCATAGATAGAAGGGTTGATCTCTGGATTCTCAATTTGATTCGCATTTGTTTTTTCTAAGGGAAGTTCTACACTGAGTCCCTTCAATGCTTGAGCAGAAAGCTTGCTTCAGGTAAGCTCATTGAGGTGCAGACAGTCAGTGCTTAAAAGGAAACAATGAGGCAGTGTAGCATTGACTCCTGTATGTGTACACTCAAAGAAGCCCTGGTGGTGCCATGGTTAAAGTGCTTGGCTGCTAACCACTTAGGAGCTTACCAAAGGTTGTGGCTTCAAACCCCCAACCACTCTGCTTTTGTAAAGGTTGTTGTTATTGTTAGTGGCAATGTGTCAACTCTGTCACAGTGACCCTGTGGACAATAAATTAGAACCCTGCTCTCTTCTGTACTGGCCTCACACTCTCCACCTTCCTCAAGTCTCTTGCAGGCACTATGTCAGTTCTTTTCATTGAGAGTCTTCCTCTCTTTCCCTGATCTTCTACTTTTGCAAACATTTGTAAATATTGTTGTATACTGTCGAGTCTGAACCAATGCCTAACTGACCCTCCAGCAGGTTTTCAGAACCTATAAATTGTATCTGAGGAGATTGTCCAGCTTTCTCCCACAGAACAGCTGGTGGATTTGAACTGCCTACCTCTGCAATGGCAGTGCTACTCTTACCCCTATGGGCAGTTAATTCTGCTATGTATTCTGAGGTCCATTATGAGTAAGAATTGACTTGATAGCCAAGAATATATAAATGTGCAAATTTCAGTGGCAAGTACAATTGAAGCAAGATTGGATCATGCCTTATCAGAAGCCTGCCACACTGTTTTCCCTGTCATCGTCTTCATCTTCAGGTAGGAGCTTCCTATATGGTGACAAGACGGCAACCAGCCAAGACTTGGAGTCCACTGACTTAGCTTTCCACTAGAGAAAAAGGGCCATTTCTCAGTGGATTCAGCTAAGTCTCACTATTCACTCTAATTAGCTAGAGTTGGCTCTCTTCCCATTCTCTGAGTCAATTATTGTGGTCCTGTAGAGGGGGGAGGTGAGGCTCCATTGACTGGTCAGACATTGGTTATGTTCTGAGCTCTGCAATCTCTGTTTCCTCTGGTGGGTCCTTCAGTGCAAAAATACATGGATTGACGCTCAATAGAGTTGATTTCTCAAAGAAAAACTGGGTACCTTCACTGGAAGGGTGAAAACAGTAGCAGGGGTGGGCAAATGGCCAGTGCAAAGCCCTGAACCAACACTCCTCATAAAAGATAATCACAGCCCTGCTGTTGAAGACAGAGTTGATAGGAAAAGGCCAGATCAATATAGAAAGAAAAAAAAATAGAATTTTTTTTTACTTTTTATTTTATATTAGTTTGCATACAAAAGTCTTATACATTGTGTTTCAAAATTTCGTTCATTCTTTTTGTGTTTCATGCATTCTCATACACTGTTTTATAAAATTAATCACTGTTGAACTATGTCCACAATTACCCCATCAGAAATCTTCTTTCAAAGAGGCTTGTTAAATAAACATCTGAGACTTTTAACAATGAATGAATGGAAATCCAAAATCTCTTTAAATGTTCATTAAAATTAAAAAAATTAAAAATAAATTAAAAAAGAAATAAAATCTAAGAATGGTAAATCATAACATTTTAGCTTCTTAGCTGTTAAAATTGAAGCAAAATTTTGCATGGCTATTTACTTCTCTAAAACCAGCAAGTCAATATACATTGTTATATTAATTACAAATTCTGAAAAATGTGAAAGATTTTTTGTTAGCCTACCAAGTCATTGTAAATGACCAAATAATTGCTGTAATTTATTATCAATTTTTCACTCAAATTGAGGGTTTTTTTAAAAAAAATTGTTCTATGTCTAGTGTTCCAATAAAAAGTAGGAATTGCACTTTCTAAACATTGATGAGAATTTGGAGAGGATCTAAGACTTCAGTAAGGACTATACCTCCGCACATGTGGTTGTTGTTATTGTTGCTGCCCAGTCAGAACTGAACCATAGCTGACCCTCCAGCAGGTGTTCAGAGGCAGTTAACCATGTGGGAGGAGATTACCCATCATTCTCCTGAGGAGCTACTGGTGGATTTGAACTGTGTGCCTTTGGGATTATAGCACAGCTTC